GTGAGGTGGAGCCGAGCAATGGGACATGCAAGCGGAATGGCAATGATTCCCATTCTAATGCGCAATTTCTCCATGTTTGTCTGCGACGTTTGTTTCTCTTCATCATAAATTTGGTTAATACAAATTCTTTCTTTAAAAAATTATTGCTTAATTATAATCTGTTGCAGATGTTGTGATGACTTACGTGTGGTAAGCCTACGCCTGGGGAGGGCCAGCGCTCCAGGAGCCTGGGAAAGGAAAGCACTCCATAAAACTTCCTGTTTTGGAGTGACGATGGAGTCACAGGAAGTTGCAGAGATAATATAGGGAGGTCCCATGTACCCTTTACCCCCAGTCCCCCAGTGTTAGTGTCTCACAGAACTACAGTGCCATGTTACTCCAGGGAGCGGACATCATGCAGTCCACAGTGCCTGCTCAGATGCCACCAGTTCTGCATACGCTTGTGTGTGTACGGTGTGTATATGTGTGTATGTACATGTGGGGGGTTATCTGTGCATATGTGTATGTGTGGGAATGTCTGCATGTGTGTGTGGGGTGTGTCTACTATGTGTCAGTGTGTGTGTGCAGATGTGAGTGTGCAGGTGTGTGTATATATGTGCATGTACATGTGGGGGGTTATGTGTGTATGTGTGTGCATGTGTGGAAATGTCTGCACATGTGTGCATCTGCATATGGGGGTGTGTCTACTGTGTGTCAGTTTGTGCAGATGTGAGTGTGTAGGTGTGTGTGTATGTGTGCATGTGCATGTGGGATGTATCTGTGATGTATGTGTCTGTGTATGCATGTGCATGAGAGTAGTCTGTGTGTTGGTGTGTATACATGTGTGCGTGTGTGCATGTGGGGTGTATCTTTGTGTTGTGTGCATGTAGGAGTGTCTGTGTGCATGTGCGTGAGGGTGTGTGTGTGGTGTGTGTGCGCATGGGGTATCTGTGTGTGCGTGTACGTATGTGTCTGTGCTGTGTCAGTGTGAGTGTATCTGTGTGCATGTGAATGTGCATGTGTGTAGCTCTCTGCCATATTGCCTCACATACAGATCCCTGTGGCCACCACCACAGTCTCGATTCAGAACCACAAGGCTCCCTTGTGCTATCCCTTTCTACCTAGACCACCCCCTCCTGCCCCACCCCTAGCCCGTGACAACCACTTCTTTGTTCTGTGTCTCTCTGATTTGTCATCTCAAGAGTGTTATGTAATTGGAATCATACAATATGTCACCTTTGAGGCTTGGCTTTTTTCACCCAGCATAACTCCCTGGAGATAGTTCTCTCCTTTTCATTGCTGAGTAGTGTTCCATGCTGTGGACACAACATAGTTTGTCCATTCACCGTTGAAGGATATCTGGGTTGTTTTCAGGTTTTGGCAGTTATGAATAAAGCTGCTGTGAACATCTGTGTACAGGTTTTTGAATGAATGTTTTCATTTCTCTGAGATAAATGCCCAGGAGTGCAATTGCTAGTGGTATAATAGTTGCATGTTTTTTAAAGAAACTGCCAAACTCTCTTCCAGGGTGGCTGTACCATTTTATACACTAGCAATGTACAAAAGGTCCCACTTCTCTGCATCCTCACCAGCATTTGGTGTTCTCACTGCTTTTTATTTTAACCCTTCTGATAGGTGTGTGGTGATATTTCATTGTAGTTTTTTACCTTGCATTTCCCTAATGGCTACTGATGTTGAACTCTTTCTGTGTGCTTAGTGTATATTCTCTTCAGTGAAATGTCTCTTCATATCTTTCGCCCATGTTCTGATTGGATTGTGTGTTTTCTTTTTTTTTTTTCACTGTTGTGTTTTGAGAGTTCTTCATACATTCTAGATACTAGTCCTTTGTCAGATGTGTGGTTTGCGAATATTTCTCCCAGTCTGTGGCTTGTCTTGTCATCCTCTTCCCAGAGTCTTTCAGACAGCAAAAGTTCTTAATTTTGATGAGGTCTGGCTTAACCGTTTTCCCTTTTATGGATCATGCTTTTGGTGTCAAGTCTAAGAACTTTCTGCCTAGCCTTAGGTTCTAAAGATCTTTCTCCTATGTTCCTATGTCTTCTAAAAGTCTGTAGTTTTGCATTTTACATTGAAGTCCATGTCTATGTTGAGGTGTAGAATTGTTTACAAACGTGGGGCCAGGACACCCCAGATCAAGGGGGCACGTGGCCACTCCTCTCAGGACCCTGATTTCCGCTACAACTAGAGAAAATTATGTGCTGAGGGCTCTGAGGGAGGGCCTCTGCCCCATCCCTGCACTGCTTGTGGGGTTTAGGATGACTGTGCAGCTGGTTGCAGGCAGTGACCTCTCGGTGCCTGGCATGCTGAGCCAGCATTGCGGCACATTGGTGCATGTTTGCCACCCACCAGGGCTGCTGTGGCTGGAGCAGCTTCTCCGACCCCTGTCTTGGCCCAGGTGGAGAGGTGCATAGGGGCCTCCGTGCATCCCCTCACTCTCCAGAGAAAGGGGGAGCTCAGACCCCACCACCCTCTGTGGCATCTAGGCCCCTCTTGCCTTCCTGAGCTACACGCCCAGCATCAATCTTGTTTAACACGCTGGAAAGCATGGGGCCATGGCTGGTCCCAGGGAGTGCCATGATGGATGGTGCCTTCCCCAGTTGGCCATGATGGGTGATGAAATATTTATGATTTATTTCAGCTGATAACCTGGGATGACTGTGGGCAGACAGTTGAAGCATTGACGTTGCTCCCCAAGTGCTGAGGGGTGTATAGCCCACATCCACCCACCCATGCCCACATGCTCACACGTGCTCATGTGCTCACACTCATGCCCACACTTGCCTACACACACTTGCACGTATGCCCACATGTGCCCACATACACTCGCATGTGCCCACATATGTGGTCACACACACACACACGCTTACACATGCTCATAGCACACTTACATGCTCACGTGCCCGCATGTGCTTACACACTCACACACACCCTCATACCATGAAGCAGCCTCCTGCACTGGGAATGCAGGTCCCATATTCATAGCTCCCTTTGCCTCCCTGCATTTTTTATTGTTGTAAAAAGTATAGATAACACAGCATTTGCCAGTTCATTTTTTACATGTACAGTGCAGTGACACCTATTACATTAATTATGTTGTGCAACCATCACCATTATCTGTTGCCGAGTTTTCCATCACCATTAACAAAAACTCAGTGCTTCCTAAACAATGACACCTCCCCCCGTAACCACTAATAAACTTTGATCTCTATGCATTTGCCTATTCTAAATATTTTATATAAGTGGAGTCATACAACGTTTGTCCTTTTGTGACTAATTGTTTCACTCAGCATAATGTCAAGATTCATCCGTGTGTTAGCATGTGTCAGGACTTCATTTCTATTTATGGCTGAGTAATATTCCTCTGTACGTATATATCAAGTTTTGTTTATCCACTCATCTGGTGATGGACACTGGGTTGTTTCCACCTTTTGACTATTGTTGCTCGCACTTTTGGTGTTGTATCTAGGAATCCATTGGAAAAACTAGGTCCCGAAGTACTACCCTTGTATTTTCTTCTAAGAGTTTTATGGTTTTAGTTCCTACATTTAGGTGCTTAATCCATTTTGAGGTAATTTTCAGGTATGGTATGAGGTAGAGGGGTCCCACTTCATTCCTTTGCATGTGAAGATCTAGTTGTCACAGTACCATTTGTTGAAAGACTGTTCTTTCCCAATTGTGTGAACTAGTACCCTAGTTGGAAATCAGCTGACCGTAGATGTGTGGGTTTATTTCCCTCCCATTTTTAAATGGTTGATGATGTTTTTGTTGAGCATAATGTTACCCAAAGCTGCTTGAGAAAGAATCAATGTAAGTGTGTCTGGAGAGGCTGCACCCACAGAGAGGTGGTGTGAAGGGCCACAGTGTACAGCATGTGGACCAGAGGCGAGAAGTCGGCCCACTTAGGCCTAGCACTCTCAGCTCTGGCCATGAGTCAGAATGAACCGGGAGCTTTAGGAGAAATCCACCTTACCTGGAATTCCTGGTCGTGCTTTCCAGATGTGCCACCTTGTGGCAATCTGGTGCACTCAGGGCAGGGTGCACACCCAGGACCTCCCCGACCATCTCCAAGTCCATCTTTATACACCATCGGGTCTGCACACAACCATGCCACTGATGACCACCAGCCTGTTCCCCGCTCTAGGCAATGTTCACCTTGCCAGTCAGACAGGAAGCTGGGTCTGCAGATCCTATAAAACATGACGATTCTGTTTACTTTGCTGATGAAGTACTATGGAGAAATAGACTTCTTCCCACTATGTGGGCTGAGACCTGTCTGTGGACCTGAGGTGAATGCATGGAAGGGGGCAGCACAGAGGCAGACCAGCTGTCATTGTCCCCAAAGCCCCCTCATTGCTGAGGGTGGATTCCTGCTTCCTGTCCTTCCTTTTAGGGTTTCTTTTACACTGCTGCTCACTTTCAGGGACATGCCTAGGAAGAACCCGTGTGTGGTATCACAGGTCACCGGGCATTGAGTTCAGAGCCCTTGCACTGTGTGTTCGCTGTCGTGTTGTAAAAACATCACACACACACACGTACTGCATTACATTGATGGGGATACTCAGTGAGCACATCATTGATGTTGGTGAGGACACTCACTGAGCATGTCACTGAGAACACTAGCCAAGAACATCGCTGAGGACCTCACTGAGGACCACAGAAAACGTCACCAGACTATCTAGCAAGAGGTCATGGTATTGAACAGTTCCTGGTTCCTGCTAACCAGACCACCGTGGTCAGGGAGTCAAGGGCCACAGGACCCCCACCCACACGTGACCCCAGAGCGGAAACACTGCTGCCCAGGAGTTGGGAAGACACTATGCCCCCCATGGTGCCTGTCCCCTCAGGGCTGCCAGGACCCCACACAGCCCAGAACAGAGCCAGCATCAGACTCTTGTGGGTGACTACAGGAGCCAAATGCTCGGGAACGAGGCCTCCCTGTTCATCTACTCTGTAGTGTTAGAGTTGTCATGGAGGAGTGTCAACAGCGGCTCCCTTTTCTCCAGGCGATACGGTCATGTTCAAGGATGGTAGGTACTGGATCCGAGGGCGGACGTCGGTAGACATCATCAAGAGCGGTGGCTACAAGCTCAGTGCCCTGGAGATCGAGCAGCACCTGTTGGCCCACCCCAGCATCACAGGTGAGTGGCCTGCCCAGCATCTAGGGAAGCCGGGAAAGGTAGGAGGGCCTGTGGGTGCTGCCTGGGAGTTCAGCTCACTCCCGTGGCAGATGAGGGAGAGGCCAGAGCAAGGTAGCGCCCAGCAGAAGCAGCGCTGCCCAGCCCCATGCCCTTGGCCTTCCCTCAGCTACTCCCATCACATTCACGTCTGTGTGTGTCAGAGGTCTCCAGTGGGAGCCCACAGGCCTGGGCTGGGCATCTGGCAGCCCTGGTGTGGTCAGCCACTGCAGGCTATGCCCAAGTCCTCACACCCTGTACCCTGCATTGCAAAGGTGCTACCCACACATGCTGTCCTCCAAGGAGCTTCCTACAGCCTCACCTGTGGTTCTGCCCACAGATGTGGCTGTGATTGGAGTTCCCGACATGACATGGGGCCAGCGGGTCACTGCCGTGGTGACCCTCCGTGATGGACACTCACTGTCCCAGCAGGAACTCCGAGAGTGGGCGAGGTGAGGACAGGGCAGGGGACAGGCAAGGGGTGAACAGTCCAGGTCTGGGTGAGGACAGGCAAGGGGTGGACGGAATGGGAGATGGGAGTGGTGTGGACGGTCCCATAGTCTGTGTGAAAGACAGGTGAGGGGTGGGCTGATCTCGCCTGTGGGTGAGGACAAGGACGGGGAAGGGGTGGGCTGACCTTGGCTGTGGGTGAGGACGGGGGATGGG